GGCTGGGGAGCTCGGGGGGCTCGGGAGGGAACGGGCGCGGTGGTGGCGGTGGTGGCAGGGCTGCCACTGTCACTGTCACTGTCCCTGTCCCTGTCCCTGTCCCTGTCCCTGTCCCTGTCACTGTCACTGTCGCTGTCGCTGTCACTGTCACTGTCACTTTCACTGTCACTGTCACTGTCGTTGTCACTGTCACTGTCCCTGTCACTGTCACTGTCCCTGTCACTGTCACTGTCACTGTCACTGTCCCTGTCACTGTCACTGTCACTGTGGTTGTCACTGTCACTGTCCCTGTCACTGTCACTGTCACTGTCACTGTGGTTGTCACTGTCCCTGTCCCTGTCCCTGTCACTGTCCCTGTCACTGTCGCTGTCCCTGTCCCTGTCCCTGTCCCTATCACTGTCACTGTCACTGTCACTGTCCCTGTCACTGTCCCTGTCCCTGTCCCTGTCCCTGTCCCTGTCCCTGTCCCTGTCACTGTCCCTGTCCCTGTCCCTGTCCCTGTCCCTGTCACTGTCGCTGTCCCCGTCAGAGCCCCCAGGCCGCGTCCCCGGCCGCGCCGCTCCCGCTGCAGTTCGCGCCGTGTCCGCCAGGCGGCGCCGCGGCGGGCCGGGCCGGGCCGGGCTCGGGCTCGGCGGCGGCAGCGGGAGGAGGAGGAGGAGGAGGAGGAGGAGGAGGAGGAGGAGGAGGCGGCGGCCACAGCGAAATTTCCTGCCGGGAGCCGCCGCCCCGGCCCACAGCGCCTGCCCGGCCGGCCCGGCCGCGCCGCCAGCGGCCCGCGGAGCCGCCGCCGCCCGCAGGTGAGCGGGGCAGGGAGCGGGGATGCCGCCGCGCAGGTGAGCGGGGCAGGGAGCGGGGATGCCGCCGCCCGCAGGTGAGCGGGGCAGGGAGCGGGGATGCCGCCGCCCGCAGGTGAGCGGGGCAGGGAGCGGGGATGCCGCCCCCGCAGGTGAGCGGGGCAGGGAGCGGGGATGCCGCCCCCGCAGGTGCCGGGCGCGGCCGGGCGGCTCCGAGCCGGGCGCGGGCAGAGCGCGGCGCTGCCCGGGGCCGGCCCTGGGCGCCGGCGCGACAGCGCTGTCACATCTCGGCAGCGACATCCCGGCGGCGACATCCCGGTAGGAACATCCCGGCAGCGACATCCCGGTAGGGACATCCCGGCAGCGACACATCCCAGTAAAGACATCCCGGTAGGGACATCCCAGGAGACACATCCCGGCGGCGACATCCCGGCGGTGGCAGCGCGGGCGGAGCGGTGGCCGCGGCTCCTCGGCGGGGCTGGGACCACACGGTGCCGGGGAGATGCGGGACGCGCCCGGCAGCGGCAGCGACAAGGGCACGGCCGGCTCCCCGCACATCCCTGGGCATCCCTGGGCACCCCTGGGTATCCCTGGGTACCCCTGGGCATCCTCGCGCATTTCTGGTTATCCCTGGGTACCCTTGGGCATCTTCGCGCATTTCTGGACATCCCTGGGTATCCCTGGGCATCCTTGGACATCGGCGCGCATCCGTGGTCATCCCGGCGCATCCCTGAGTATCCCCAGGTATCCCTGGGCATCCGTGGGCATCCCGGCGCATCCCTGAGTATCCCCAGGTATCCCTGGGCATCCGTGGGCATCCCGGCGCATCCCTGAGTATCCCCAGGTATCCCTGGGCATCTTTGGACATCCCCGCGCATCCCTGAGTATCCCCGGGTATCCCTGGGCATCTTTGGACATCCCCGCGCGTTTCTGGTCATCCCCGCGCATCCCTGAGTATCCCCGGCTGTCCCGGCGCATCCCGGGATTTCCCCGGCCATCCCCGCGCCCCACCCCCGGTGTGCTGCCCCGGGATCTGCCCCGCTGCCGAGATGGGGCTGGTGCCTGAATTTCGCTTTTCAAAGCGATTTTCTGCCCTCGGTTCCCCCCCAGCCCCTCCTGCATGCACCTCGTTCAGGTGAGCGGCCCCGGTGGCTGCGGACGAGCTCCTGTGGTCTCCCACGGGCAAGGCTGGTGTTGTTTAAACTCCCTCTATTTCCATTTGTTCCGTTTATTAGTTGACTTTCACGTGGCTTTTCACCGCTTCCCATTGTGGGATTTTGTTTTTCTCTTTGCTCGCGGCTTTGTGGGAAGGGTCAGCGGGTGTTTGCTGTGGGACAGAACAGTGTTTTCTGCTTGTGAAAGGCTGTCTCCTGCTTTTTCCCCCCAATTTTTCTCTGAGGTTCCTCTCCATGTGGCTTATTTCCATAGCGTGAAGTGATTTGCTGTGTATTCAGCTGCGTAGCTGTCTGTGTCTGATTTGGATGGGGTAGATGCTGCTGAGCTGAAAGAAAAGACAGAGCTTATCGAGTTGGGGTTTTTTTAATTTTTTGAGTTTTTTTTTTTCCCTTAGATGTTATAATCCGTGGAAAGTAGAAATAAAGATGCAGAGAATTAAAACAAATAGCAATTTAAGTGCGTCACCTTATGTGCATGCTGGTTTTGGGGCTTGTAAATAAATAAATAAATAAAAGAAGTGACTTCTGATGAAAACTAATGTTCAGCTGGAAGCTGGGTGTAGTTAGATTTAAATGTGGATAAAAGTGCTTTCCTCGTTCTGGAGGGACGTTATCCCCCACTTGGCTTTGCTGGGGGATAAATGAAACCCTAAGTGAAGCTTAGAGTGGGAAATTTTTGGTGGTTTAGGGGCTTGGTCTTGCTTTTGATCAGGTGGAATTTGGGCTTTGAGAGGAGCCTTAATGGGGGTAAGGAGGTGTTTATGGGGCCAGCTGTGGGGTTTGGGGTGGTGGTGCTGGGGAGAACGGGGTGGGGATGGAGTGGGACCAGCAGGTTGGGGTCCCCAGGAGGAGGATGTGAACATCACCTGCGGGGTGATCACAGTGAATTCTGCTGAGAGCATGGACGAGTTGAAATGTGTGGCGAGAGCTCAGCAATGTGCGAGAAGAAAGGAAGGGAAATAATGTGAGGAACAAAATGGTGTGGGCGTAGTGTTTGGTGTTTTTTTTGCTTTGCTGTGCTCTCCCAAATATAGGGATTGCTGTGCTCGGTGCTCCTGAAATGCAGGGATTCTCCCAAGCACAGAGCAAAACTGAATTCCTACTTTGAAAGCTTTGCCGACACCTTTAATAAACCCAGACATCTTTATGTACCTAAAGCAGGCTGCTGGGGCTGTTTGGGCTGCAGGAATTTGTCCTTGGGCGTTAAGTGGGGAATTTGAGCACATTTAGATCCTAGTTTGTGTTCGTATTTTGATTTTTTGGTTATTTACCTGTTAACAAACTCAGTCGAGGCTTTTCATCTCATGAGTAAGGGCTGGATTTCCATAAACAGCTCTGTAAAGTCCCTGAATTTTCTTAGTCTTACTCTCCTTCCCTGGCCCTCCATGGCATTCCCAGCTCCTGGGGGTGCTGTGTGGGCTGGAGTGATGGGGAGCAGGGCCAGAAGGGATTGCTGGGGGTCTCAGCAGGGTCCTGCCCCACTGGGGCTGGCAGAGGCAGAGCTGCTCCCTGCCTTGCCCAGAGTGGGCTCTGCACCTTCCCAGCTGGAAGTGGCAGCGTGCAGGGACACAAATAATCACAGGATAGCATTATCTGCAGGTGCTTTTATGGGGAGCTCTGGGAATCAGGGCTACAGCCCCAAATTTGACTCTGACACGGCTTTTGAGCTGAATGCATTTTATATTCTATCCTTATATAATTTACATATTCATTATTACATTTACATTGTTTAGGAACACACATCATCATGGGATATGATTCCATGCAGGTGCTTGTATTGAGAGCTCTGGGAATCAGGAGTGCAGACCCAAATCTGACTCTAATGTGGCTTTTGAGCTGAACGCATTTTATATTCTCTCCTTACATATTCATTATTAAACTGACATTTTTCTATTGTGTACATTGACTTTATTCAACTATGAGTTTCTCGTGATCTTTCTTAGGCCCCTGACCACAGTTTCTCATGATTATTCTTACGATTAAACAGTAATTATATTTAATTACTAAACAATCATCCCATCTAACAATTATATAATTTATCATGTACTCACCACACAGGTGCAGTTCTAGCAAGGTGCAAGGCCTCTATGTACTTAAGGTATTTATTTTTTTCAGGGCCTACTAAGCTTAATTTTCCTTTTAACCATAAATCCCCATGATTTTAAACCCCTTTTACTCTCAGAAGGTGACAGCAGAGCAGGAGGATTTTGGAGTTTGTTGGGTTTCTGGAGCTGGTGGTGTCATGCCCAAAGCTGCAGAGCTGTGTTATTGACCGAGCTGGTTTTGGAGTGTGATCCAGCAGAGCTCTGGCTGCTGGCCTGGATGACCTTTTTCTCACTCTTTTAAGAAGTTTTCTGAAGTAAAAATGAGTGGACGGGGGTTGGCAGACTGCCACAACTGTGAAATAAGAGCTGGAGGAAATTCAGCACGATTCTGCCCTGTCACAGATGTCCTTGGTGTTTTCTGAGAACCAAATGCACGTGTCACAGAAAAACACAGACGGGTTTGGCTCGCAAGAGACCTCAAATCCCAACCCATTCCACCCCTGCCAGGGCAGGGACACCTCCCACTGTCCCAGGCTGCTCCAGCCTGGCCTTGGATCCTCTGGGCACCCTGTGCCAGGGGCTGCCCACCCTGCCAGGGAACAATTCCTTCCCAATCTCCCATCTAAATGTCCCCTCCTTCAATTTAAAGTCATTGCCTCTTGTCCTGTCCATGCCCTTATCAAAAGCCCCCCTCCAGCTCTTGTTATCAGCAAAGTCTTCATGTTCTTCGTGCTTGGTGATGCCAGGAAAATTTGTTCAAGGTTTTGGAGCAGGTCAGCTGCGGTGGAAAATCAAAAAAGAGCAAGCATGGGATGCTGTGGAGGAGGAGAAGCAGGAAGATCCCAAGGAATAATGAATTGTTTGTCGTGGTGCTGGGAGCACACAGAGCCCACCCTGCTCCTGGAGGAGTGGGAGCTTCTGCAGGAAAATGGTTCCATCCTAGACAACCTGAGCATTGTGCTGGTCCCTCCTGGGAATGATGTTGGCACTTTGTAAATGTGATGTTGTGGTTCAATCTCTGTTCCCAAAATATTCCTCAGCGTGGATTTAGGGCAGGGCTTAGCAGCAGCTGGAGATGCCCTGTGTGGTGTCATCAATGAACCGTGGTGTTTTGGTGGAAAAAACCTGCCTTGAAATGGGCATTTAAAGTGAATTACTCTGTATCTGGACATGCAATGAACATTTCTCAGGAGAGGAGGTTGAAAACAGATGTTTTGGGTAGAAGCTGCAATTCCATCCTTATTGCAGGGGGGCTGGCAGGAAGGGACCACATTTCCTTTAAAAACCAGCACAATGGGATGGGTTTGGTGAATCAGACTCCAGCTCTGTCATCCAGCACGCCTCGGGAGGTTGCAGGGATTTTTTGGGGAGGAGGCTGCAGGTATTTTTTTT